CCATCAGCCACCCCCTCAGCTGGCTTCCAGCAAGCAAAGTCAACGGGGAACCTCCAGATCCGCTTAACGACCTTGTGATTCGCTTTACGGCCACAGCAATCCAGTTAACCTTGGCAGAAAAGGTCATAAGTGGAGCGTGACTCGCTCAGGAACTGCCTTGCTTAGCGCTGGACGTTCTGCTCCCAATTTACAGCCGTACGTCGAGGACCGACTCAATGCTGGCTGGGAATTCTGGGAGTTGAAGTCCATACCCCGTTCAAGCTGCCGTGCCTGAGAAAACGCTGCTAGGGCAAATTCCCAGACCTCTAAAAACGGGGGGGGGGAGGGTGGCCCTTGGGCCTCGAGGATGTCACCCCTCCCTTGGGGCCTTCCTAGATCGAGCAGAATTAATTAACGAGGTTGCTTTGAAGTCTCGCCCTGCACAATTAATAGGGACATAATTAGGCCCCTCCTGAATGGCAGCACAATCCTCTATACGGTATTGTTAATTAATTGGAAAAGCCTCTGTGCCAGCCTTCATCAAACTTCGATTCCCTGGGCAAAAGCACTGAAAGATACACACTGACAAACATCTAAAGTGGTGTGTGTGTGTCCAAGCTTGGCCGTTTTTAAGACCTGGGGACTTCAACTCCCAGAATTCCCCAGCTGGTGCCTTGGAGAATCGGTTGACCCCCCTCGTTTATCTGTAATGATATAGGGTCCCCTACTTTGAACTCTGGTGCTGGAGAAGACTCCTGCGCGTCCCCTGGACTGCAAGGCCATCCAACCGGTCAGTCCTAGAGGAGATCCACCCCGACTGCTCTTTAGAAGGCCAGATCCTGAAGTGGAAACTCAAGTACTTTGGCCACCTAATGAGAAGGAAGGACTCCCTGGAGAAGAGCCTGATGCTGGGAAAGATGGAGGGCAAGAGAAGAAGGGGACGACGGAGAATGAGGTGGCTGGATGGAGTCACTGAAGCAGGAGGCGTGAGCTTCAATGGACTCCAGAAGATGGTAGAGGACAGGAAGGCCTGGAGGAACGTTGTCCACGGGGTCGCCATGGGTTGGACACGACTTCGCAACTAACAACAACAGCTTGAGCAAAGGATTGGACTAGGACCCTCAAAACATCTTTGAGGCAGCCCCTCAGATAAGGATAAGGATAGAATAGAAAAGAAAATGAATAGAATAGGATAAAGAATAGAATAGAAAATATAGAATAGAAAATATAGAATAGAATAGAATAGAAAATATAGAATAGAAAATATAGAATAGAATTGAATGGAAAATTAATGGAATAGAATAGAATAGAACATACAGAATGGAATAGAATAGAATAGAATAGAACAGAATAACAGTTGGAAGGGACCTTGGAGGTCATCTAGTCCAACCCCCTGCTCAGGCAGGAAACCCTATACCATTTCAGACAAATGGCTGTCCAGTCTCTTCTTGAAAACTTCCAGTGTTGGAGCATTCACCGCTTCTGGAGGCAGGTGGTTCCACTGGTTAATTATTCTCAATGTCAGGAAAACATTGCTATCAGAAGGCTGCTAACCCTGTCCCCTTTTTGGGATTCCCACCGTCCCCCACTTCCTGAGTGGGGCCAGGCTTGGACCCATAAGCTGGTTGGGCACAGGAGAGCGGCGTTCCCATCTCCCCCCTCCCCCTCCCTTCCCCACAGGCCATTGGTCTTCCTCTGCTCTGACGGGCCCAGGAAGAAGCAAAACCTTCCTGATTTGGTGAACTTCAAACAGGAACTTGGGTTTGCAAGTGAAACCAGGGTGGGGGAGAGGAAGCCGAGCAGAGACGCTGCGAGAGGGGAAACCGAGGCTCCGGGCAAGGTAAGGAGGCTGAAGGCCGAGCGCATGGGTGCTGCTGGGCGCTTGTGAGCGGAGGAGCTGTGGGTGGGGATGGAAAGCCCAAGATCCCCGTGGTCCTGTCCATCTCTGGAGCTGGTGGGATCCAGGCAGGGATGCTTGCCAGCTGGCAAAAGGGCACCTCCATCCCTGCCCTCTGGGGCATTGGGGGGAGCAGCAGCCAGCTGGCGGAGCACATGGGGCCAAAGGGACTGAAGCCCCCCCTTTCCTTGGCTCCTGGGCTTCTGAGATCCAGCAGCTCAGCTGCAACAACTTGCAATGCTGCCCAGTCTGCCTGGTGGCCATTGATGCTCTTCTGAGCTTCCACAGGGCAGCATCTGGAGCAAAGTGGGGGGGGGGGAGAAAGGGACCGGTTTGAGGTGGGGAGGCCAGGTGGGGTTCCCAGAAAAGGGGACCACTGCCAGGGGTGAGGGAGGGCACGGAGGGACGTCTGGCGGAAGTCAGCCCCCTGATTTTGGCACCCGCGTTTCCTGGCTGTGCTCTTTGCAAGCTCTTTCAAAGTTTTTGCACGCTCGTTCCACGAGGACTTTAAAAGCTGCTGCAAACCTTTTGCAGATCTGTGAGGCGTGCACAAGGCAGCGAACGAATATCCAACACGCCTTCCTCTTCCTCTTTTCCCCACGACAACAACCCTGCGAGGTGGGCTGGGCTGAGAGAGAGACAGAGGGATTGGCCACCAGGTCAGCCAGCTGGCTTTCGTGGCTAAGGGGGGACTTGAACTCGCCGTCTCCAACTTTCTAGCCTTGTGCCTGGATCACTAGACCACCGGGCTGTCGGGAGTTGCAGCTGGTTACGGTTCCTGATGTCAGCCTTGATCCTTTTTGAACAAAATCTGGCTGGATGGGGGGGGGGGTCTGATGTAGAATCCAGAGTGGCACTGCTGAAAGATGATGGTGTAAAGATTGTGTGAAGGCACCTTGGATTCTGCAGTGGTGCTGTGGGTGCAGATGTGTGGACCAAGTAATTATCTGAGTGTGTTCAGAATAACAGAGTTGGAAGGGACCTTGGAGGTCTCCTAGTCCAACCCCCTGCTCAAGCAGGAAACCCTACATCATTGCAGACAAATGGCTGTCCAATCTCTTCTTAAAAAACCTCCAGTGATAGAGCTCCCACAACTTCTGGTGGCAATCTGTTCCCCCAGTTAATTGTCCTCACTGTTAGGAAGTTTCTCCTTAACTCCAGGTTGCTTCTCTCCTTGATTAGTTTCCATCCAACGTTTCTTGTCCTGCCTTCAGGTGCTTTGGAGAATAATTTGACCCCCTCCTCTTCTTTGTGGCAGCCCCTCAAATACTGAAATACTTTTCATTAAACTCGACATACCCAATTCCTGCAACCGTTCTTCGTAAGTTCTAGTCGCCAGACCTTAGATCATCTTAAGTTGCTGTTCTTTGCCCTTATTTTTCGCAAAGTTTCTCCTTAGTTTTAGGTTGCTCAAGGTCTCACTCGTAGGTTATGGCTTTTCTTTCGGAGATACAAAGCACCCCCCCCCCCAGTAACCTGTCTTTGGAGAGGAGGGGCTTGGGACACTGGCTTCCCCAGCTTGTGGCCATGACCACAGAAAAGGCCAAATTGGCGCATGAAGCCCCAGAGATGTCAGCCGAAGACCTGCTTGCGCACAGCCCTCGCAATGGAACAGTCGCTTCCTTTCGGCCTGCATCCGGCTGACTGTAGGATGGTTAGCTGAGTTTCCGTCCCTCGTCTGCACCACAGTTGCAGAGCGTGAAACCATTTAAGGTGGGCTGAAGCCCCCCAAAAGAGCCCCACATTGTGAGGGACGCACAGCCCAGGAAGGAGAATGTGTGCTGTTGTTTTGAATTTCAAAATTTGTCCTCTCTTAAGGGGAGAGAGAGAGACAGAGAGACAGAGAGAGAGAGAGAGAGAGAGAGGGAGGGAGGGAGGGAGACTTATTTCTTTCTTGATTGATTTCTTGATTTCTTGATTTCTTGATTGATTTCTTGATTTCTTGATTTCTTGATTTCTTTCTTTCTTTCTTTCTTTCTTTCTTTCTTTCTTTCTTTCTTTCTTTCTTTCTTTCTTTCTCTCTCTCTCTCTCTCTCTCTCCCCCTCCTTCTCTCTCTCTCTCTCTCTCTCTCTTCCTCTCTCTCTCTCTTGCTCTCTCTCTTCTCCCAGATGTGGAAAGCTGCGGTGGGCCACAACGTGTCTGCGAAGGTGGAGACCCAAGGAGATGATTGGGACACGGACCCAGATTTTGTGGTACGTCCTCTTGGCTCCCAGGTTGCTCGTGGTTCAGAAGCTCCGGACCCATGGGGCTTGCCTGGCTCCCACAGGGATGGGCCCAGCTGTGACTGAGGAGGCAGAAAGGGTGGGTCTGCTTCATGGCAGGCCAAGATGTCGGTTGTGACACTGCACATGACCCCGTGGCCCCCCCTGGAAAAGGAGGTCATCCCCCCTTCCCCTTCCACTTTGGCTGAACCGGTAGCTAATTTTTGGTTGCCCAGGCCCAGAACGGACCTCCGGAAGCGGCATCCACGCAGAGAACCGGTCGTTCACCTATTTGAATCCCACCACTGGTCAAAATTCGCTTAACAACTGCTCACTTAGCAACAGAAACGTTGGAGTCCATTGTGGTTGTGAGTCGAGGACTACCTGGGTCACTTTTATATAGCCACCGGTCTCGTCTATGTGACCCTGGGCGAGGTATACCGTAAAATGCAAACATTAAAAACCATACCGTAACAATAAACATTAATGTGAACTAAAAAGACTAGGAGAGAACATCTTGCTGTTGTGTACAGTTGTGGCCATCTTAGCAGTTGTCCCAAAGGTGCTTTTTTCAGGACTTTTTCATTTCCTTTGGAGATGTTTCACTTCTCCTCCAAGAAGCTTCTTCAGCTCCGACTGGATGGTTTCCGGGAATGGAAGGAGTATTCTCAGAGAGAGTACTACTGACCAGATGACTGCAAGGAATAGAAATCGTTCCGTTCCCCACCATCCAGTAAGAGCTGAAGAAGCTTCTTGGAGGAGAAGCAAAACGTCTTCAGAGGAAAACCACGAAGTCCAGTTGCCTCCTGAAAAAGGCATCTTTGGGACAACCAGGACCTGGATGATGGAGAACCATCTCAGCAGTTCTTCAGCAGACCTCGGAGGCTGCAGACGTAGCCAATTTCAAAGGACTTCTGGAAAGTTGGGGGGCAACCTCACCTTGGGGAGATGATGTTCCATGGATGGGCCATGGGACAACCTCTCCTGAGTCCCACCAGATGTAACGTCTTGTCTCCTCTTGTTGACAGAATGACATTTCGGAGAAGGAACAGCGCTGGGGGGCTAAGACAATCGAAGGATCTGGCCGTGCCGAGCACATCAAGTGAGTGGCTTCTTCATCCTGCCTCCTCTTTCATCTAGACCTCAACTTCTGCTGTGTTGGAAGTAGGCCTGTGATTCCACCCTCCCCCAAGGGAAACCGGGGTCAGGAGCTCAATGCTGACATTACCTCGGGTCTCGGGGTAACTTTCCTCTCTGAACCACAGAGTGTGTACAAACTTCTTCCTGCCCCTCGACTTGGATCCAAACTCAATCTGAAGAAGAGAACCACCAATAGTAGCGTCACAGACGAAGAGTGTCCTTTTCCTTCACCACAGGAGTGGGTCTACAACCCCTGATAAGTTCTATTGGAAGCCAACTACAGAGATACTAATGGGAGCTGAAGTTGAGGCAGAGTTGCTCAATCTTGTTAGCTTGAAGATGGGTGGACTTCCACTCCCAGAATTCCTCAGCCAGCATTGTGTGAACTTCCACTCTCAGAATTCCTCAGCCAGCATTGTGTGGACAATGCTGGCTGAGGAATTCTGAGAGTGGAAGTTCACACAATGCTGGCTGAGGAATTCTGAGAGTGGAAGTCCACACAATGCTGGCTGAGGAATTTTGGAAGTCCACACAATGCTGGTTGAGGAATTCTCGGTTTTGAAGCCCACACAATGCTGGCTTAGAAACACCAAGAGGACTAGCAGCTTTTGTTAACTTTGAGCAACGAAGCATGTTTTGGGGCACAGTTTCCCCGCCCTGTTTTCTGAATTTGGAGGCCAGAAACCATTAGAAGGAGAAAGAAGAACTTCAGAAATGCTTGTTCTCCATCCAGTTCCTCACTTTTGACGAGTCATAGCTAAGATTCTTGGTCAAGAATGTACCCTGCCCTGTCCCGTCCTATCCAGAGATGTTGGATGACAACACCCATCTTCCCCAAACAGTATGGAATTTGCAATCCAACCCCGAAGGCACTAGACTGGAAAAGCTGGTGGCCTTCCTCCAGAGAGAGCAGGCTGTGCTTCAACTTGACCGTGAGGTTCTTCGGCGAGAACGGAATCCCGTGACCCATAACATATGTGGCTTCCTCATTCTCTCCTCCAAAAACAGAGGAAGTGATGTCCTTCCTCTTTTTCAGACCACTTTTGAATCTCTTATTTATGTGTTTATTTGGAAAGAGGCAGAAGTGCTGCTTTTCTTCAGCTCAGATGACATCATCGTCCTGGCATTGGGTGACCGTTTCTCTTCTTTCAGTTCCTCCGGTTGAGATTTATCCTGACTTATTTTATTTACTTATTTGTTAAATTTATACCCCGCCCATCTTGCTTATCAAGAGGAGATTCCGGGTGGCTTGCAACCCGATAAAAATGACAATATGAAACATTAAAATGATCAACATGAAAATTAACAAAAGTTAGCTAGGATAGGAACCAATGGGGTCCCTGGTGCTCTCTGAGCTTGGTTGTTTTCTTGCAGATGTTTCATGACCCACATTAGGTAACATCATCAGTATGAGTGGTAAACCCCACACTCCTTCACACAGATGTTCCCTAGTTGGGTCATGAAATGTCTGCAAGAAAAAAAACCAAGCTCAGAGAGCACCAAGCACCCTCTTTTGATCCTCCTCCTTTCCTCCTCCTCCTCCTCCTCCTCCTCCTCCTCCTTCTCTTCTTCCTCCTCCTCCTCCTCAAACCCCATTCTCTTCATGAGCACTGATGATGTTCTCAAGTTGGTTCATGAAATGTCTGCAAGAAAAAAAACCAAGCTCAGAGAGCACCAAGCACCCTCTTTAGATCCTCCTCCTCCTCTCCTACTCCTCCTTCCTCCACCTCAAACCTCACTCTCTTCATGAGCACTGATGATGATGTTCCCAAGTTGGTTCATGAAACATCTGCAAGAAAAAAAAACCAAGCTCAGAGAGCACCAAGCACCCTCTTTTGATCCTCCTCCTCCTCCTCCTCCTCCTCCAACCCCACTCTCTTCATGAGCACTGATGATGTTCCCAAGTTGGTTCATGAAACATCTGCAAGAAGACCACCAAGCTCAGAAAGTACGAAGGACCTCACACTCCACCTTCTCCTCCTCTTCCTCCTCCTCCTCCTCCTCCTCCTCCTCCTCCTCCTCCTCCAATCCTGCTATTTGATGTCTCTTTTCAGCATCCACCAGCTAAGAAGCAAGGTTTCTGAGGAACATGAAGTTCTGAAGAAGAAGGAGCTGGAAGCGGCACCCAAGGCTTCCTATGGCTACGGGGGCAAGTTTGGAACCGAGAAGGACCGCATGGACAAGGTACACACTTGGTTTCCCTTCTTTTTTTTTGAAGTTCTCAGCTGATCTGCAGTCGGTCTTTCGCACAGCCGCTGTTCTGCATGGCAACTTGGCCTGCTGGAGAACCTGTCCACATAACAAGTCTGCAAGGTGATAACCCTGGTTTTCCTTGGTTCTCCAGAGTGCCCTGGGCCACGAGTATGTTGCCGAGGTCAGCGTGCACGCTTCCCAGACGGATGCAGCCAAGGGTTTCGGTGGAAAGTACGGCATTCAGAAGGACCGAGCAGATAAGGTGGGGGCTGTTTTACTACCAGTTTTGCCTACTCTCTTGGTTATAATCCTCTTGCAGCATGAAAGGGAAGTGATGAAGTGGGATGGTTTAACTTCTTTAAAGGCATTGGATTCAATGGGATTTTATAGCCAATGTTCTTTGGAAGCCACAAACGGGGCTTTCTTTCATGAATGAAAGTGAATATACGTGTGCCAGGATAACGCTGCAGGATCCGATTTGGGTCGGTCATTTGGACCGGAGATTTTGTCTTCTGAGCTTTCGGATTCATGCTGGGGCTTTTTTGGGAAGTTAGGAATCAGCCCTTTACTGTGGTTCAGCCAAGAAGCACCAACCGTGGGTGCTAAGACTTATAAATTTATAGTAACAGAATCCTGCAAGTCTGAAAATCCTATAAACCTTTCCCCCTCTCCTTTATGGTCCAAGATACTAGGGAGAGTCTTTTCCATTCCTTTTATGGGCTCCTCCTCCTCCTCCTCCTCCTCCTCCCTGCATACCCCACTCTCTTCTAGCACTGATGATGTTGCTTAGTTGGGTTGTTCTGGATCATGTTTGGCATTTATTGGTTTAAGTGCTGTCTCCTTAAGAGATGGCTTGTGGGTAATGTAGTTTAGCTAGTCTGCAATCCCATGTTATCAGATCTGTGGGAGGAGTTTCCAAAGTTCATCATAGGACATCTTGGCCACGAGCCAGGTTGGAATGTTCTTTGTCTGAGAGAAGCATGGAGCCATTCGGACATCTCAGTTGGCTCCATTCCAAGTTACAAGCTGGTATGGAGGAAGCCTTATTTTCTCACCTATGAGAATGAACTGATGTAATATCCAGAAGCAACCACCATAACTGCAAGTATCTCTGGATAAAATATATCTGTTTTGGAATCATTTTCATTGACCCAGATTTACAAAGCAACTTAACTCTGGGTCAGAACATGGGTCATGAAATGTCTGCAGGAAAACCACCAAGCTCAGAGAGCATGAAAGACCCCAGAGTCATCCTCCTCCTTCTCCTCCTTCTCCTCCTTTTCCTCCTCCTCCTCCTCCTCCTCCTCCTCCTGGAGGAGGAGGAGGAGGAGGAGGAGGAGGAGGAGGAGGAGGAGGAGGAGGAGGAGGAGGAGGAGGAGCTCCCTGCAAACCCAACTCCCTTCTAGCACTGATGATATTGCCTAGTTGGGTCATGAAATGTCTGGAGGAAAACCACCCAGTTCAGAGAGCACCAAGGACTACTGCTGCCCTTCTCCCTCCTTTCTCTCAAGGACATTGGGGGAGTCCCAACAGCCCACATAATTGAATTTAACTTTATTTCTTTTACAGCCTCCTTCCTGCCCTTCCCCCTCCCCACCTTGTTTTCTTCCCACTCAACATTATTTATTAATCAAATTTATCCACTGCCCATTTCACTCTCTAACTGGCTGGTTTACAATTTAAAAACAAAAACATTGAGGACAGGCAACTGCTTGGTTGATTATTAGGAGCCATCAAGTTATTATCAATTCCTGGTGACCAACACAATTGGCTATAATTACTCCGAGGGGTGTGTGTCTCTGTGTGTGTGTGACTGTATAATGTCTCTCGCTTTCCCTTCCCTGCAGTCTGCGCTTGGATTTGACTACAAGGGAGAGGTAGAAATGCACATGTCCCAGAAAGGTAAGTTTTGAGGGCCCACCTCCAGGTTTCTGGGCGTTCCCCCCTGTTCCTTCTCCAGTTCCCAGAGCCCTTCCCCAGTAAGAAGGGCCCAAGGTCATTCACACTGATGTGTCGGTCTTTTCCCAGGGGTGTTTTGCACCCCAGCTTCATATTCTGGTGCTCAGTCTTCTGGGACCCTGAGAATGAAATGGGTTGGTTTGGAATACAACACTTTGTCAAGCCACCCCAAAGGTGCTTCGCGACTGGACTTTCTTGTTTTTCCTTGAAGATGTTTTTCTTCTCCTCCAAGAAGCTTCCTCAGTTCTGACCGAACGGTGGAAATATTCCTTGCAGTCATCTGGTCGTTAGCGCTCTCTCTGAGAATGCTCCTTCCATTCCCCCCCCCTCACACACACACACCATCCAGTCAGAGCTGAAAAAGGTCCTTGGATGAGAAGTGAAAGAAGAAATTCCAGTTGCCTCCTGAAAAAAGCACCTTTGAGACATCCATGACCTGGATGATGGAGAATCTGCATGGATGTTTGGACCATCTATGACTGTCATCGACCTTCTGAAAAACATTGTGTTCTCCTACTTCAGACTATGCCGTTGGGTTTGGTGGGAAGTACGGCGTGCAGAAGGACCGCCAAGACAAGTCTGCCTTGGGTTGGTCCCACAAGGAAGAAGTCAAGCCTCATGAATCTCAAACAGGTCTGGAAGCTTCAAGTCAACCTTGGTTCATCTCAATTAACCTCTCATGGGTTTCTGAAAAACGTTGTGTTCTCCCATTGCAGACCATGCCGTTGGGTTTGGTGGGAAGTATGGCGTGCAGAAGGACCGCCAAGATAAGTCTGCCCTGGATTGGTCCCACAAGGAGGAGGTCAAGCCCCACGAATCTCAAACAGGTCTGGAAGCTTCAAATCCACCTTGGTTCATCTCAATTAACCTTTTTTGGCTTTCTGAAAAATGTTGTGTTCTCCCATTGCAGACCATGCCGTTGGGTTTGGTGGGAAGTACGGTGTGCAGAAGGACCGCCAAGATAAGTCTGCCCTGGGTTGGTCCCACAAGGAAGAAGTCAAGCCTCATGAATCCCAGACAGGTCTGGAAGCTGCAAGTCCACCTTGGTTCATCTCAATTAACCTCTTTTGGCTTTCTGAAAAATGTTGTGTTCTCCCATTGCAGACCATGCCGTTGGGTTTGGTGGGAAGTATGGCGTGCAGAAGGACCGTCAAGACAAGTCTGCCTTGGGATGGGCCCACCAGGAGGAGGTCAAGCCCCACGAATCCCAGACAGGTCTGTAGAAAATATGGATGGGTTGAAGCTGTGGCCTGGTGGTCCTTTAGTTTGGCCAACCCATGTATTGCTTGGGGCCAGTATGTACAATGAGTAGTTTTTCTTCCTCATTGGTCTGCTACATGAGGAGCTTCTTAGATCGTGAACATGAACTCCACCCCCTGCTCAGGAAAAGGAATAGAAAGTTAAGCGTCCCAGGATGATGGTTGTCCAGCCTCCACTTGGAAGCTTCCAGAGAAGGAAGTCCTTCTGTCTTTGGACCTCGGACTAGGAGCGGCAAGTCCATTCGTTCCCTGTCAAAAACAGGGAGGTGGCTTTGGTTGAGAGCTAACGACCAGCCCAAGTCACAAAGAAAGACTTAGAAAGCTTTAGAACCTACTCACTTTGCAATCTATTGGCTCCAATAGAAGACCGTGGGGTCCTTGGTGCTCTCTGAGCTTGGTTGTGCTCTTGCAGATGTTTCATCACTCAACTAGGTAACTTCATCAGTGGTATCCTCATCATTACCATTGATGATGTTGCCTAGTTGGGTCATGAGACATCTGCAAGCAAAACAACCATGCTCAGAGACCACCAAGGACTCCACAGTCCTCCTCCTCCTCCTCCTCCTCCTCCTCCTCATTTTCCTCCCTTCTTCCTTTTCCTGTTCTCCTCTTCTTTCCTCTCCTCCTCTCCTCCATTCCTTCTTTTCCTCCCTTCTTCCTTTTCATGTTCTCCTCCTCTTCTTTCCACTCCTCCTCTCCTTCATTCCTTCTTTTCCTCTCTTCTTCCTTTTCCTGTTCTCTTCCTCTTCTTTCTCCTCCTCTCCTTCATTCTTTCTCCTTTTCCTCCCTTCTTCCTTTTCCTGTTCTCCTCTTCTTTCGCCTCCTCCATTCCTTCTTGTTTTCCTCCTTCCTTTTCCTGTTCTCTTCTCTTCCTCCTTCTTCATTCCTTCTCCTTTCCCCCCTTCTTCCTTTTCCTGTTCTCCTCCTCTTCCTCCTCCTGCACTCCTCAGACCCCCTCCCTTCTAGCCCTGATGAGGTTACCTGATCGGGTCATGAAATAACTGCAAGAACACAACCAAGCGCAGAGAGCACCAAGGACCCCACCATGCCCTGGTTATGTGCCCGCAGCCAGGTCCCACAACCCGGTCAATTGAAGATTTAGTGATTGGACTCACACAGCAAACTTGAGTTTGGTAATCTTGGTTAAGCTTTGCATTTGTGAGTGGCTTACTAGGTTGTGCCAAGCCAGGCAATCTGTTGGCTTTGTGATTCTGTCTATCAATCAAATTCAGAAAATGTCTTAATTTGTTTTGTATTCTCTCCCTGGGAGCTGCAAGTCCATTCGTTTCATCTCAGATAATCTCTTGAGTCTCTTTGTCTTTCTGAAAAATGTTTTTCTTCTCACTGCAGACCATGCTGTTGGATTTGGTGGAAAGTATGGCGTGCAGAAGGACCGTCAAGACAAGTCTGCCCTGGGTTGGTCCCACAAGGAGGAAGTCAAGCCCCACGAATCCCAGACAGGTCTGGAAGCTGCAAGTCCACCTTGGTTCATCTCAATTAGCCTCTCTTGGCTTTCTGAAAAATGTTGTGTTCTTCCATTGCAGACCACGCTGTTGGGTTTGGTGGGAAGTATGGCGTGCAGAAGGACCGTCAAGACAAGTCTGCCCTTGGATGGGCCCACAAGGAGGAAGTCAAGCCCCACGAATCCCAGACAGGTCTGTGGAAGGAGGTGGAGCTGGGTAATCTCTTAGAAGAGCATAAATATACAACATAGGAACCATGTTCTGAAATCTTTTAGCTCAGGACTGCAAGGTCCAGTTCCTCTTTTGCAAGTTCAAGCTTCCAAGTTCTTCTCCAGAACTTTGAGGCTCCAGAACCTGAAGGAGATTGCTTCCATACAGGGGACAACTAAGAAGAGCAGATAGACTCCATATTTGGTACCCTTCCTTGTTATTTTCAAAGGTCCTGTTCTCTTCATTTTTGGGGGGGGGTATGGTTGTGTATATTTGAGGGGCTGCCAGAAAGAATACGGATCCAACCTATTCTCCAAAGCGCCTGAAGGCAGGACAAGAAACGTTGGATGGAAACTAATCAAGGAGAGAAGCAACCTGGAACCAAAAAGAAACTTCCTGACAGTGAGGACAATTAACCAATGGAATGGCTTGCTTCCAAAAGTTGAGGGTGCTGCATCACTGGAGGTTTTCAAGAAGAGACTGGACAACCATTTGACCGAGATGGTATATGGTCTCCTGCTTGCGAAGAGAGTTGGACTAGAAGACCTCCAAGGTCCCTTCCAACTCTGTTATTCTGTTATTTGCATCTACTATAGAGAGGCAGGTGGCATCTGCAGAACTCCACCAGAACACAAATTCTAGCCACCTTGGTTGAATCTCTGCTTTTCTGGAATCTGCTGTATCCACACAGCTAGTTTAGGCAGACACTGGAGGTACGGAAAGACTCAGTCACACTCAGTCTAGCCTGGGCTGGACATCAAAGGAGACGGTCAAGCCCTTGAGTCCTCGGTGGGACTAGGGGAGGAGATGGGATGTATTATGAAGTCTGCAGTCTAGTTTTAATTGTGCTAAGTGAACCCAGGTATGTCAACATGCAGAAGAAGTTCATACTTCTTAGGTGTTCACTAGTGTTTAAATCATCAGCTTCATCTGTCCCAACTCTTCCAATGTCTCTGGAGGTTCTCAATCATTCAGGTCATGGTTGTCCCAAAGGTGCTTTTTCCAAAAGGCAACTGGACTTGGTTTTTTTTCTTTGAAAACGCTTCTCTTCTCATCCAAGAAGCCTCTTCAATTCTCCTTAGTTCTGAAGAACTGAAGAAGCTTCTTGGGTGAGAAACGAAACATTTTCAAATTAAACAAAAAAAATCAAGGAAGTCCAGTTGCCTTTTGGAAAAAGCACCTTTGGGGCAACTCTCTCGACGTAGTGTCAAGCCCCTCAGGGTAGACAGCTGCATGGGCAACTGATAAGGAAGGGCTTTAAGCTCAGACTTCTGAGTTCAACTCATGCTTCCACCTTCCCTAAAAAAAAGTTGGCTATTTTCTCTCTTGCAGACTATTCCCAGGGCTTTGGAGGCCGTTATGGGGTGCAGAGAGACAGAGTGGACAAGGTAAATGGAGGTTGAACCTGGGGTGGGCTCAGCTGGGTCTGGATGGTTGGAAGAAGATGCTCAGGAGGACATTTGCCCATTTCCAACTCTCTATCATCTGTGCTTCCCCTAATTCTAGCCCCATTGCTTGATTTTATTCTCACGATATCGAGACTTCAGGAGAAGCTTCGCCAATCTTTTCCCCTGCAGATACGTTGGACTACATATCCCATTCATTAGATCCAGGGTGTCCACAGCTTCCTCCTTGTGCTACCCGGGGGTACACAGGGAAGTAAAAGAATGTCAAGATATTGTCCACTTCTGCATGATGGGAGCCCCATTGCTTGTTATATCTGTGTCTTGCATGGGGGTCCCTATAAAATGGGAGCTGGGGAATCTATGCGTCTGTGCATGAGGTCCATGTTGCCTTTTTTGACCCTCTGCAGATCCTATTGTTACTGCATCATTAAAGCGGCGCCATTAAGCTGCCTTCCAGCCATTTCCAACCTGACCTAGAAAGAGAAAAATCTGTTTGATGTGACTTACAGATTCTTCAGGGGGAGGATAAATCAGGAATGGGCGTAATAAA